ACACACACACACACACACACGTGTTTCATGTTTAGTGTTGCAGGTTTTTGACGTGATGGTCAGCGAGCTTCAGTCGCCGTCACGCCTTCAGACTCAAACAGGAAGTTGCTGTGGTGTTAAATGATGGCGGGAGCAGCGGCAGGGACGATTCCCGGTTTGATACCGGAGCGGAAGCTTTAGTCTGTGTTTCTGATGTCGGAGCGCCGGCCGAGCCGGAGCAGCAGCTCGCTGCGGTCAGACGTGTTCAGCACTCGATGCCAAATGCAGTGCTGTGATTGGTCAGATCTGTTAAGGTCGTAGTGTCGTCCTGCCAACACGGTGCAGGACTTTCAAACAGGTGAGTCCCAGAATCTTACCTGTGAGTGCTGATCATGTGACTCTGACCTGCAGATGGTGGCGTACAGCATCCTGTGGGACCTCAAGTTCCTCATGAGGTGAGTCATCACGCCTTTCTGAAATAACTTTATCGACGTCGTGGACAGAAACGGCTCGTTCTGCACGTTTGCATGACGCTGCAGGTCGGAGCTACAACGACATGATCTGCTGTTCTTCGTCCTCCTCGTCCTCTGCAGGAACCTGGCGCTGGGCGGGGGCCTCCTCCTCCTCCTGGCAGAGTGCAGGGGCGAGGCGCGTAGCGTGTTCGCCGGAGTTCCTTCCCTCGGACATCAGAGCTCGCCGAAGCACCTCCTGCAGCTGGGAGGTCGCGTCCTCCTCGTCCTCATGTTCATGACGCTGCTGCACTTTGACCTCAGCCTGCTCAGCGTGAGTCTCACAAACCCGCACGTGTCCGCACGTGTCCACGTAATTAAGTCCTGGCAAGATTTGACGGAAGGTTACTTTTGTTCAACCAACAAGTTGTTTTTGACAGGAAATGACACGGCGAAGAAGAAGACGAGGCACCAGAGGCATCGCGTTTACTTACATTTGAGCACAAAGTGTCCAGAATGACTCTTCAAACTGTCACAGTCCTAAAATCACCGAACAGTCCGAGCCGGTTCAGTGGGCGGCGGGTTGGTGGACTCGTGGCTCAGACAGAGGAGGGAGGACCTGAGGCTGGTCACAGGAAACGCCACCACGAAAAACAGCATGAAGATCCTCCTCCTCATCATCAGGCAGCAGCAGACAGCTCAGCGCTACAACGACCCAAAACACAGCGAAGTAAACAGTTAGCTGACACAAACATTAACACTGAGCAGCTCCGCCCACAGAGTCCAGCAGAGACTCTGTGGGCGGAGCTAAAGATCAGGGCGAGGAGGCGCTCCGGCCTGAAAGCTCACTGCTGAAGACGAACGAGCAAACGTGTGACGAGCTGGTCTGCAGTTATAGGACGCGTCCGTCATGATGACTATTAAAGGTTTTTTATTGATTATTGAGACGAGTGATTGTGGGCGGGGCACGTTTTGCTCCAATGAGAATAAAAGCAGAGTTGTTGCCGCGGCGATGCCTCTGGTGCCTCAACATCGTTTGGGAGACGAAAACTTGCAGGTTGAATAAAAGTAACTTTGACCGCCGTCCTCG